ACACACATGCTACTACTGAGCTACATACTGGTTTAGGAATATCTTTTCATCAGATAAAAACTATTTATAAAATTATTATATATTTATTACACACACACACACACCTATATATATATATATATATAATTTTATGCAGTGCTAGAGACTGAATCCAGTATCTTGGTAGGCAATCACTCTAGCATTGAGCCATATTACCAACCTCACACACATCTTTTCTCTATATAAAATTTTATACTTCAGATTATTATATATAATAGTTATATATCATATGTATGTGCATTGCGTATTATAGTTTTTTTTCTGTTTAAAAATGATCCAAGTGTAATAGATTATAAACTCACTGCTCTCAGAACAAGGAAAGATGGGGCCATGAGCTAGAGTATGATGAAAAACAAGATTTACCCTAGGCTGAGTAGGTGCTGGGATGGAAGGAAGTACAGTCTTCTAGGCAGTGCATGATAAGCCAGAATGTCAGCAAACAACAGAACAGGTGGTTAGTTAGTCCAGGAGAACAATAGGCATCAGGATGTGCAGCCTGAAATAATGGAGACAAGGAGTGCTAGTAGGTGGGTAGAATATACAGGTATAGGTGATGTACAGCAAGGAGCTGGCAGTATGTTAGACAGGTATGATGGTATATGCCTGTAGTTCCAGCACCAGGAAGGATGATGTAGGAGAAGAGTTCAGGGTCAGATTGGGCTTATGAGTGAGACTTGCCTGACTCAGAAAACCTGGGAGGTGGGGGTAGGAAGAACTGAAGGCAAAACACTGTGATCAGTCTGTGCTACAGGGGCTAAGTTCACATAATAGATAGGAGAAAATTCAATTATAGGTTAACAAGGCCAGGTTTTAACTAAGAAAATATAAAAGGGTTGCAGGTCAGTTCTTAGAAAGGGGTCAAGGTTAAGGCTTACCCTAACCAGTAAAGGCATAGGTCTAGCCTTGGGCTTGAGACTGAAGCTCTATGAATTGTTCTGTCTCAGGGCCCAGGAAAGAACTCGCTTCTGCGGGAAGGAAACCAAGGACCGTGTAGGACCAAATGATGGCTATATTATAACAATAGTCCCAGAAGCCAGTCTTCAGTCTTAGTAAACAGGTGCTTTGAAGCAAAGCAAAATTAAAATGAAGAGAAGGGAAGGAATAGGTTGTGTGATTATAAATAACAAATTCAGGTTTTCAAGCTTTTCTCTATTTTGTGCAATGAATTATACTTATATTCATTCTTCTTTCTTCCTTCTCCCCCTCCCCCCTCTTTCCTCTCTCCCTGCCTTCCTGTTGCTGCTTGAGCTGAGGGCCTGGGCACTGTCCCCAACCTTCTTTTGCTCAAGGATAGCCACTCTACCACTTGAACCACAGTGCCTCTTCTGGTCTTTTCTGTTTATGTGGTACTGAGGAATGGAACCCAGGGCTTCATGCATGCTGGGCAAGCACTCTACCACTAAACACATTCCCAGCCCTCCATACTTTAAAACACAATTTCTGTCCTGGCTGGGTCCTAAACCTTGGTGAAGTGCCATTAAGCAATAAAATGAAACAATAATGTGCATGCTGAAAAAGGAAGCTATTTCCTCCACTTTACACACAGTGCTTTTAGTCACTTAATATTGGGAATAAAACCAACCAAAGTGTCACCTACTAAGGACATCCTTTCACTAGTCCTTACTGAGCTCTAACTTATCTCATACCCACAAAGACTCAGTGCTTTCTTTTGCCTCATAAAATCTTTACAACAGGAAAATGACTTTGGACAGATTAACTTGGATTAATCTATTGAACTTGGATCCCTGAAGGCAGACGTCCCCATTTGACTGAAGATGATGTAATCCACAAATTTCCTGGCCAGTCCTCATCCTTTCCCATATCACTGTGCTACTTTCTAACATTGGAAGGGTCTTAGTGACAAGGTTCAGAAATGCTCAGGGGAAATTCTAGGCTTATCTAGGTCATTCACTTAGCAAATACTGAGCACTTGTTGCCAAGCACTCTGAGAGAGTGGAGAATAGACTGACTGAGTATTGCTCTATTGAGTTTACATTGTAGTGAGGCAGTGAGCCTCAGATTATAAATTAAATAATTTCAGACAGTGAAAAGTAGTATGGCCAAGTGCTGGTGGCTCAGGCCTGTAATCTGAGCTACACACAAAGAAGGCTGAGCTCTGAGGATGGAAGTTCAAAGCCAGCCCTTGCAGAAAGTTCATGAGATGCTTATCTCCAATTAACCACCAAAAAGCTAGAAGGGGAGATATGGCTCAAATGGTAGAGTGGAACCTTGAGTGAAAAAATTAAGGGACAGCACCCAGGCCTTGAATTCAAGACTTACTACCAGTAGGCATAAATGCGTGCACGTGCGTACACACAGACAGACAGACAGACAGACAGACAGACACACACACACGAAATTGGCTGTGATGGGCTGTTAATATAAGATAGGTCATTAAGGAAAGTGTCCTTGATGAGCTGAGAACTATAAAGGTCATTTCCATTCCAAATGAATGCTTTGTGATTTGGACATGAAGTAACCGACATTTTTGGGACTGGGGTTAAAACTGTGCAAAGAAAAAGGTTCACTTCCAGTTCTATAAACCTACTACCACATCACAGAATGTTAAATGGGACTTTGAGGTGTTGCCTTTGACTTTGGGGGCCAGACTATACGTGCCCAGATGTCTCCTTGGGCGTTCTAGCTGTTCTGTTCATTTAGTGGGCAGGCAAACCGGAGAAACAGGCTGGCATGCATATACATGCCAGGAACCAGAGACAACACCATAGCCAGCTCAACTCAGTTCAGTTGTCTGGAAGCAGGTTTCCTACTGTGATCCACTAAGGATTTATGTCTGTGCAGAAAGTAGGCCTTATCAAAGAAGAGCAAAAGGATGTCAGTTTATATTCTCAAATATTTAAAAGGAGATCTTTTGGCAGAAACTCAAATATATAGCTTCAAATTTGATATTTCATTTTGTTCTTCCTTCAATGACATCTAACATAAGCTAAGCAACACCAGTTTGTACATTTCAAAAACCTGAGGCTGCATTAAAGTTCTAATCTGAGATTCTTGGCTATTTTATAGACTGATTCATTAATACTAAATCCAACTAGGCTGCAGAGGTGATGATAAACCACTTGCCATGCTTTTCTCTGTTTAGCATAGGATCTTGGGCCAGTAAATCTGATTGTCTTTGAGGAAAACTAGCTCACGGTTTACCTAAAATTTAAGCAGAATAATATGTAGGAAACTCGAGAAAGAATAGTGACAGATTTGAATTGATGCAAAAAGTCTCTGGTATCATATTCCTGGGCCAGGGCAAGATACTATTATAGATGACACTCAAATCTGAGACAATTAAGGAGCTCAGAAAAAAAGTTCAGCATAGAAAGCAGAACTGAAAAACAATTTGGAATTACCAAGGGTAGCTGTGGCTCTTAAAGACAAAAGTGAAAGGGAGGACAAAAATAAAAGACAAGAATACAAGGGAATTTAAAAATGTACACCAAAATTATTATTAGAGAATACTTTGGAATCTAGACATCTCTTTGGGGCAAAATGTGTGTAAATACAACTTACCAGCACTTGGCACATTCTTTTTTTTTTTTTGAACGGGTTTAATATTGATATTTTAAAAAGAGACTTGAAGTACCTTATGTAAAGTGACTTAATTGTTGACATAATTATGAACGAGGTTGTTAAGGTCACATTTGGTTAAAAGGGGAGGGCCCGTCTCGAAGACTTTGTACAGTATTTTGCACATACCTTCAGGAGAAATGGAAGCCAAGAGAGGTACTGACAATTATCTGCATTTTTTCGAAATGGAAGGACTGATACTCAGGAGGGTATTCGAGGTCACTTGGAGAGAGGGAGCCCACGGTAGATTGAGGGCAGTATTTATAGAGCGCTGACTTCAGTTCCGCTGGGCTCCCGCCGTTCGTTCCTTTCTTATCTTAGGCCTCTGGAATTCACAGGATCGCAGATCACAGCAATCTGTGCGCGCCCGGGATCTGCCGCAGCGACCGGGAAACGCCTAGCTTTTCCCTGCATCCCTCCCTGCGCGCCCTCCACCTCCACCTCCACCTCCCAGACTGCGCCTCCTCCGCTCGCTGGCCCGGAGCCCAGCGCCAGAACCCGGGAGCGGTGGGTGGGTGCACAATGAATGCGGCGTGACTACATTTTTCTGTCCTTTGTCGTGACGACTACTACCACGACGGGGCCGTTCCCCACCTTGGTGCCGTCTAGAGGCTCCTGAGGCTCGGACCCGCTACCTGGCGCTGAGGCGGAGAGTGAGCATGGACAAGAAGGGTCCGAGGGTCCCAGGGTCGGGGCTGGGCGTGAGGCGAGGAGGAGGGGTGGGGGGAGGGAGAGGGCCCCGGCCACACCCCGTCGTCGGCGCTCCGCGTCCGCCTGCCCGACTAGCCTTTCTTAGAGAGGCCCTACCACCATGAGAGGGGCCGGAGGGCCGGCGCAGAGGAGAAGCCCCCCTCCTCACAGCCGCCCGGCGCCCCCTTGCCGGCGACTGGCTCTTTTCCCCGGCAGCGGGGCGCCGGGCTTCGTGGATGCCCTCCTCCCGCTCACCACCCCCCCCTCACCTTCGGGAG